GTTGTTGGCTCTTAGCAGGCTCTGAGCAGCTCCTTTGGATGGGTCTCACCTTCACTGCAGCTAACACGAGTTTCACCGTGTGGGTCAAACACCCGCGGCATTTTTGTCCCACCTGGCAGTAAAACACAGCCTTGTGTTCCCTGTGCACTGTGACAAGGTTTGTTACTCTCACAGACCAATACCAGAGGGAACTCTGAGCTCACATCCCGTTGTCTGTTCCAGCTGCTCCTGGGGAGCTGCTGGATGCATCAGGTAAGTCACCAGCAAGGCTGTGACAGGTGGATTATGGAATATAGAGTGATGTGTGAAGGTTCTGTCCCTCCTTGTGTCCCATAAATGATGTTTAATGTCAGTGAATACCTTACTCTTGTTTTTAACTCTGCCTGCAGGGATGGAAAAATGCTCCAGCTTTTCTTCCCTGCGCCTGCCTTTTCCCCCCCAGAACTAACGTTTCCTTGCTCTTTCTCTGCTTCCCGCTCATCAGGATTTGGTGGGATTGAGACTGCAAACTCCACTGCCAGTGGGTTTAATTTTGGGGGTTTCGGATTAGCTGCTAACCCTGCAGTGAATTTTAATATTGGGAATTTCGGTGTTGCCACTACCTCAACTCCACCATTCAATTTTGGTAACAGTCTGGCGAGTGCAGGTAGATAACACATAAGTACTTGTTCTGTGGTCAGTGTTACCAGCAGAGGTCCAAGAATTGCATCCTTAACTGGGCATCTGTGTCCAGGAATTACATTCTTAACTGGGAATCTGTGCCCAGTGCTAATCTTCATGTCCAGTGAAGACTGGGGATAAAAGCTCTGGGAGTGGAATGGGTTTGAGAGTCATAGATTTGGAGGGATTTTTCCTGTTAAATTCTCCAGGAATAGCTGTTGAGGAAAAATACTGCTGTGCCAAAGAGTCTCTGAAATGGGAATGCTTTGGGTCACCCACAGCCTGACATTGAGCCTCCATCCCTGAGCCAAATGGCACACAGCTCCCTGCTCAGATCCAGGTGCTCCCGGGCAATCCCAGAGCTGGTCCCTGTGCCACGTTTCCTGACATGAGATTCTTGGACTGCTGCAGTCGTGTTTCCATCTCCCCCCGTGTCTCCTCATCAGCCTCGCGCTGCCTCTCATCAGTGCTCCACACCTTAGCAGTTTCTCTGGAGAAACAGATTGTATACGACCAGCACAAAGTGCACAGCCCAGCTGTGACCTGTTCCCAAACTTCAGCGTGCATCCCAAAACCCCTGGAAATTCGGGAAGAGGTGTGTGATGGGTGCACTGGGTGTGGGTTAAGAAAACCCTTGGTGGCCCCACACAGATCCCTCAGTTCTGAGGGACCATCTGGTGTAATCCCACCTATGAAAACGCTGGACTGGATGGATTTCTAATGCTTTTCCTCCTGTGGAATTAGCCCTGGGGGTGTTGTTGCCGCTGCTCGTATAGGAATTCCATCCATCCCACAGTGCCATCACTCCCTGTGGCAGCGACTCTCACCTGTTCTGTGCACTCAGGGGATCTGGTGTGGGGTTTATTTGCTGTGAACACTTGCACTGTGTTTCTGTAGCTGAATTTGAGCTGCTCCAAAAGAGATACTTGATTTGGTGTTCAGTTTGATCCTTAATCTGCACTCTCAGATCCCTTTTCAAGGGAGGATGACTAACCCTGCTGTGAGTGCAGAGCTACCTGAGAGTTGTGGCATCTGCTGGTGCTCCTGCTGGCAGGACTGACATGTGGATGTTACAGGGAACAGCTTCCCACACCCACTCACATTAAGGTGTTTGTTGAGTGGAAATAAAAGGCAGTTGTGTGTCAGCTTTGGTTAAGCTTTTCATTTTGGTTGTGTGCAGGAGCATTATGAGGGTAGTAGATCTCAAGAGCCTTTTTTTGTTAGCAGTTGACACCTGAGTTAGCAGTGACATCACCTTTTTGACAAGTCCTTTGTAGCAGACTTGTCTTTCCTCATTTGAACACATGTAAACCCAGCTTGGAATGGAGAGAACATGGTTTCCAGGCTGCTCAGCATTCCTTGGGCTGCACCTTGGGCACCATGGCAGCAAAGAGGTGGTGTCAGGGCTCCTATTCTAAGGGGTGAGTGGGAAGCTGGGTGTCTTGCAGCTTCCTCTGGCATGTGTAGCTCAGGCTCTGACTTAGGTCCTCTCCTGCTGGCCAGTGACTGCTTTTCCTGAAAATCTGTGGAAGCCTGATTGCTTTTGCATCCCTTTTCCTATGATAGTGGTTGAACCTCCAAATGAGATTTAATGGGGAAGATGATAGGGAAGATAGGCTTAAAAAAAAAAACATGCTTTGTAGAGTTTTCCCTGTAAATTTTCCCTGTAAGCACAGTGCCTGTGCACACCCAAGCCTCAGGCTCTGCTGGATTTGTTCCAAGAGCCTAGGAATGTTTGTAAAACTCACAAAACATCAGGTCAGATATTAAACACTGAGCAGTGACATTGCCCAGAAGTATTCCCGCTGTGTCTGTCACCAGGGAAAGCACATCCCACGGTGAGGAACAGGATGTCAGTTAACTGCTGCCTTTTTGTTTGCTTCCTTGACACAAGTGTTGGCTTTCTGGTCCGTGTTTTCTCCCCTGTTTCCACAGACAAGGACCTGGATACCCATGATCAGTGTGAGCTCCATGCCTGTAACACATTGCATCCATCTGTCAGCACCTCTCCTCATAACACCCGGTTTGTTGTTGTGTTGTGTCCTGCTGCCACGTGCCACTGCCTGACTCCTGCTCTTTGTTTGCCAGGTGCCTTTGGAGGATTTGGGACAACCACCACCACTGCAGCACCAGCCTTTAGTTTTTCTGCTCCCACCAACACAGGCACTGGCGGTAAGAGAGTCTCCAGTATTGGCTTTAGAGCCAGTCCCCTGAACACTTTGGGTTCCATCTGTGCTGTGCTCCTCTTTTTCTCAATAAGTCTTTGCTTATTTCTCCAGGACTCTTTGGTGCTACCCAGAACAAAGGCTTTGGATTTGGTACCAGCTTTGGCTCAGGAGCTGGAACTGGGCTGGGTAGTGGCTTGGGAACTGGGCTAGGCTTTGGAGGCTTCGGAACACAGCAGCAGCAGCAGCAAAGCAGTGAGTACAGCCTTCTCTTCACTCCCCCCTTCCTTAGCACTGAGAGGGTGAGGCTGCACAGGTGCTGCTCAGGTGGTGGGACAGAGGTGTCTTGTAAAAGGAGGCTGTCACATTAAGCTCTTGATGGATAGAGACTCCTCAGATGTTTGGGGTTTGAAATGCCTACATTTGCAGCACTTGCATTGGTTTTAACATAGAGCTCCAGTAAGTTCCTGAGCTTCACCCTTGAGCTTCCAACAATATTTATCCCTTTGTTTTAGCAGTGGCAGAAATCAAAGAATTGGTGCTGACAGTCACAGCATTACGAGAAGGGAGGGGAGAACAGTGTTGAGGCTAGCTTAAATGTGTGTTGGATAATGAGCAGCTGCAGGCTCTGAGTCTGCTGAGTTTACAGCAACCACCCTGCCCTTCAGATTTAGGTACTGAAGGTGCCACACAATGTTGTGGATCAATATAGATGTCTCATTTAAAGAAAAAACAACTTTATTGCAACTCAGCATTCAAGAACTTCTGTTGTTGACAAAGATTAGGCATTAAAAAACACTTTTAAAAGCCATGATCTGATTTTAATTCATTCATTTATTCTGTGCATTTGTTTTGCTTCTCAGAATGTGATGAGAAGTGATGCCAATGACAGGCAGACTGTATGTGATTGCAAGTGAGTCTGTCACTAAAGGAGTTTGTTTTCCTTCACCCTACAGCGCTGGGAAGTGGCTTGTTCAGCCAGCCTGCCCAGGCACCCGCCCAGTCCAACCAGCTCATCAACACTGCCAGTGCCCTGTCAGCTCCGACGCTGCTGGGGGACGAGAGGGATGCTATCCTGGCCAAGTGGAACCAGCTGCAGGCCTTCTGGGGAACAGGCAAGGGCTACTTCAACAACAACATCGCCCCAGTGGAGTTCACGCAGGAAAACCCCTTCTGCAGGTTTAAGGTGTGAACTGGTCACCTGCCCACGAAGGGCTCTGATGCCCTTACTCTGTGTGCTGAGAGTCTGAGCAGCTCAGGAGTGTACAATCAGGTTTTGTTACTGTGGGAGTGTTCTGAAACAGTGTTTTCCAGCTGATGGGCACAGTTCTGAGGGGTGCTCGGTGGCAGGCTCAGAGATCCTGGGAATTTGGGTGGTGTGGAGGGATAATGAGCCCAGATGGGGATCACAGAATCACTGGAGTTGCCAGAGACCTGTAAGAGCATCAATTCCAACCACTTGGACTTGATGATCTTAGCATGGATGGACTTAGCACTACCAGTGTAACCACTAAGCTATCAGCAAACTAGTGTTTTCGTGTGGTAGCATTCAGGTTAGTGTGTGTGCAGCTGGAGCAGATCTCTGGAAATTAGTGTGTGCTTGTTGAGATTACAATATGACAGAAGTTATTTAAAATCACCTTCACATCTGAAAGAGGCTGTGAACATTTGGAATAAGAACTTCCAGGCCTTTCTCCATTGCTTTGTCTGCATTAAAGTGACTCTCCATGAGCCTGTGCATGCCATTTAAATCCATCAGCTGACTCCATTCCCTGCATGGTATCATCAGCACTTCCAGATCCTGGAAAGAAATAGGTGGTTCTTCATCCTCCACAAATCCCACACCTTGCTAAGCCTCAGGCTTGTCAGGGGATTTGGGGCAGGCATGGTGATACCCTCCTTTCCTGAGCTGATTCTTTGGAGTGCAAACTTTGTGACCTGAATGTAGGTTAATGCTTAATTAAGTCTAGTTCTGATTATGCACATCATGAGACTTGTATAAAATTTCTGCTTAGTGCCTTGCAAATGTTTGGCTTCTGCTGCATCATTGTTCCATGTTATCTTGAATATTTTGTTGCCAGTGCACCTGAAATCTTACTTTATGTAAGCTATGGTCTGAAGTTGCTTTGGAGCTTTCTGGGCTTTAAAAAATTGCTAAGTGCAAGTTGTGTGATACAAAAATCAGTTGTTTTAATTAGAGTTTCATTTACCAAAAAGAGGAGGTCAGACAGTGCCATGCAGTAGGTTGACTCTTGTCCCTATGACTCGAGTGTCACTAATGCCATTATGAATTCAGATGCTTCAAGTGAAATACTGAGAAGTTCCATCTGTGCCAGCAATGGAAGATGCCTAAGTGAAACAGCAGAGAAGTTAGTGGCACAGGGATAGGTACAGAGTGTGATAAGCTAGTTTGGTTGTTGCCTCTGGAAGCATCAGATAAGAATGAAGCATTACCAGAAGGGTTTCACAGGGGTTCAGAGGATCCACTTGTACACAATTCCAGCTCCAGGACAAATGGGAAGCATGCAGCTCTTGGCCAAGGGAAGTGTGCTTCTAAGGTCTGTGCTACAGGCTGTTGTTTGAAGGACTACAGTGGAGTAAAAAAATCTGCCATAGTTTGGAAATACTTCGTGGTGTAAAGAAATCATGGAAGATTTATTTATTATTTAAATGCTTGTCCTGAGTTAGCTCTGTAGATTTGTCACTGGAGCCAATGGGTGTCTTTTGGAACCAGGGAAAGCATACTGCTCCTGTGTGAGCTTCTAATGTTGAACTCAACATGTAACCTTGGTGCAGATTTATCACAGCAAAAATGAAGATAACATGAGATTTTATAAGCAATTGTCCACGAAAACCATGACTCACTAACACAAGGCAAGGGAAATTGGCTGTCTCCAATTCTTATGGGAGAACCTTGCTTGATGCATGCCTTGCCTAGTAGAAATGTTCTATGTCCATGTTTTGACTTGTCAGTCCAGGCAAACTGTTTGGATCTACAGCAGGAAAATGCTAAGAAATCCATAAGGATTTCTGGTCGACTTATCTGTCAGGTTATGTCAGTAACACTTTTTCATTCAGACGTCTGGAAATGTAATGCTGTAAAACTCCTCTGGAACTCCAGTAGTTTTTCTGTGTTCAAGCCTGGTCCTCTGGTTCCTTTTGCAGTTGGGAAACAGTGTAGATCTGTAAAGTGTTCCTGATTGCTGTTGGCTCTGAAGCAGCATAAATACCCTTCTGCTTGCAAACTCCTAATCCATAGATGGGGAGTGGATGTTTAGGAACTTTCTGGAACTGTCAGAACTGTTTCAAAAGCTACTGTACTGGTGGCTGTGTGAGAGAAGGATTTAAAGGGAGAACAAGGGGTAAGGGGTTCAAACTGAAGGAGGGGAAGTTTAGGTTAGATATGAGGCAGAAGTTTTCCCTGTGAGGGTGGTGAGACACTGGCACAGGTTGCCCAGGGAGGCTGTGGCTGCCTCAACCCTGGCTGGCAGGGTTCACAGCCAGGTGGGAAAAAACCTTGAGCAACTTGCTCTGGTGGGAGGTGTCCCTGCCCAGGGCAGGGCTTTGGGACTGGATGATCTGTAAGGTCCATTCCAACCCCTAAAATTCTATGATTTCTGCTCTTCTGCTGGGCCTGGGGTTAAAGCCTAGAAGGGTCACTGTAGGTGTTTCTCACTGTTGCTCACATACAGGTGTGTGATTCCAGGGATTGTCATTCCAGTGTGTTTTCCATGTGATTCAGTTTGGGTTCAGACTGAGAGAGGAGAAATTTAGGTTGGCTACATGGAAGAAATTCCTCCCTGTGAGGGTGGTGAGATCTTTGGGTGTTTGAGGACAAGTTGCTTGTTGTAACAGGACAAGGGGAATGGCTTCGTACTGCCAGAGAGGAGGGTTAGATTGGATATGGGGAAGGAATTCTTCCCTGTGATCGTGGTGAGACACTGGCACAGGGTGCCCAGAGAAGCTGTGGCTGCTCCATCCCTGGAAGTGTTCCAGGCCAGGCTGGATGGGGCTTGGAGCAACCTGGGCTGGTGGGAGGTGTCCCTGCCCATGGCAGGGAGGGTTGGGACTAGATGATCTCCAAGCTCCATTCCAACCCCTAAAGTTCTGTGATTCTATGAGTGATTTTATGTTTCTGCAGCTTTGAGTATGTTGTTAGAGTTTGAGCCAGTTGCTCTAACACCAGAGGGGTTTAGGCCACACAGATATGTTTTTGCTGAGTAATACATCCTGATTTTTCATTTGCTCCTCTGCAGGCTGTGGGTTACAGTTTAATGCCCAACAACAAAGATGAAGATGGCCTCGTGGTGCTGGTGTTCAACAGGAAAGAAACAGATATCCGCAGCCAACAGCAGCAGCTGGTGGAGTCCCTGCACAAAATCCTGGGAGGGAACCAGAGCCTCGCTGTCAACGTCGAGGGTGTTAAAACCATGCCCGACGACCAGTATGTGAACCTCCCACACTTTGGCCTTTTTATCCAGTATTGAATGCTAGCAAGGGTTGGTGCTTCAGTCTACTTACTGTCTTCCCTTCTCCTTGCTTTTAGCTCTGCTCATCCTGGGTTTAGTGTCTCATTCACTCATGTTGCTTTTTATTAAGGCATTAAGTCCAGTGCCTTTCCGGAAGGTTCAGGTTATTCTTAATGTAGTCCTAATTTCACCATCTAATATGGTGATCTAAAAAATTCATGGTCATAATGGTCAATATGTGTTGATTAAACCAGGGGAGGGAGGAGAATGTAACATTGTAGGGTATTTACAGTTTTCTTCTCTGCTTTGCTGTGTTAAACCCTGCAGTTAGTGGTGTTCACATCTCAGTGAGCTAAAGGAACTTAAGAGTCAGCTGGGAGAAGTGGTCACTTGGATTTAGGGTTGTCCTTTGTTGTGTGAGTTCCCACATGCCGGTGACCTTTTCCTGACATTCCCCACTGTGTCTGGCTCAGGACAGAAGTGATCATTTACGTGGTGGAGCGCTCGCCCAACGGCACTTCCAGGAGAGTTCCTGCCACGACCCTCTACGCCCACTTTGAGCAAGCCAACATCAAGTCATCCCTGCAGCAACTGGGGGTCAGCCTCTCCATGGCCAGGACAGAGCTGTCCCCAGCACAAGTCAAACAGCTCCTGCAGAACCCTCCTGCTGGTACGTGGGATGGGGCTCTACTGGGCCTTTTGGGGTCTCTGGGAAACATGCAGGTGTCAGCCTAATGACCTCACTCTAATTACAGTCATTTTTCCCACTGAAGTGCAGTTGTGATTTATCAGTACAATGCCACATAACTCCATACTCTGATTTAGCCATCATAAAGCACTTCTGCTTGTACAATTAAAAAAGAAGGTAAAAATCAGAGCAATCATGTCCTGTGCTCAGTACTAGTTTCCAGAGGGGTCACTGAGCCTATGTATGTAGCCACATAGTGCACATCCAGCTCTGTTTTAGAACAGGTCAGTGCTGTTCATGCTGTTTTGTGGCATAACTTTTCTTTATGTCTATAACTTTTGTATATGTCTGTGTTTAGGTTAGGAAAGGTTAGGAAATCTGGACTGCAAAAAGAACTGGGCCTACTCTAGCAGAAAAATCAGAGCTAGCTCCCACTGGGGTTATTTTGCCAACTGGTTTGGTACTCTGATCACTTAATGACTGATTTTTTAATACCTGTTCCATACAATAAGCAACTTGAAGAGAACACATGACCCAAGTGTGGCCTACAATGAGAACAGTAGGAATTTCTCCCCTTGCAGTATGGACTGGGATCACCTCTGGGTTGTGCCTTTCCTCTGCTTTCAAACCAGCAGGAGTGCTTGGCAGCCTTTGGGGCTGAACTTCCTGCTGCAGCTCAGGACCAAGATTTCTGAGAACTACCCATGTTTAGTTAACCTTCATTTCTGTAACAGCCATTTAGGTTAGCAGATTTCATAGGGTTTGTGTATTCCATAGTATTTTTCCCTGCTTAAGAGCTCTAAGATGTGATATCTATTCAGACATATCCATACTAAAAATTACTTTGTTTGTTTGGGTTTTTTCCAGGTGTTGATCCTATTATATGGGAACAAGCCAAAGTGGATAATCCTGATCCTGACAAGTGAGTCTAATAGTTTGTCTAAGCATGTCAACAAGACTTGGAAAGTAGAGAAAGAGAGAAGTAGTACCCTTCAAGTATCTAGTAAGAAACACATTGGGGAAGAACTTGGCCCAGTGCTGATCTCCTTGGAAGCAGTGAGGATTACTGGAAGTGCCTGCCTTAATCCCTTCACCCATTTAGGCACTTAGGAGCTGTCAGGGTAAAGAGCATTACTTGGAGCTGTGGTGTCTTCATCACGTGGACTAGCTCTTGGGACTTAATTTTTGCAACTGTTGTGGGTTTTTCTCTTTATTCCTGCAATGAGGTGATGCACCTTTGTAGCCTCCAGTGCTTACAGAGAACTTGGGCTCATTTCTTTATGAGAAGGGCACAGATTGTCAGGAATAGTGAGGACTTAGAGCTTAGAAACTGAAGATATGTTTGTGCATTATCTTACTTAATAAGAGGTCAAGATTATCTGTAACTCCTACTAGATTCTATTCATATTTGTTAATGCATACCACGTGTCCAGTACAAAAATGTATTGTAAGAAATACTTTTGTTCCTCTAGGCTTATTCCTGTGCCAATGGTGGGTTTCAAGGAGCTGTTGAGAAGATTAAAGGTCCAAGATCAGATGACCAAACAGCATCAAACTCGATTAGATGTAAGGCTGCTCATCTTTATCCTGAGTGCTTGCTGTTGACAAAGGATGTGCTGCTAAGTGAGCCCTGTGCCTACTGTGTGTGAAAACTGAAACTAGAACCTTGTTCTTTATATAGTCCTTTGGTGCAGCTTTTAGCCAACTTGCTGTGTTGTTATAGCTAATTCACACCAGCTCAATGAAGTTGTACTGGCACAAACCCTGATTTGGGCAACCAGTTTTCCAATGCCTTCTGAAAATCTCACGTTGCACGTGAAAATAAACAGAAAGCAGAACAGCAGAGGTAGCAGGAAGCTTTCTAAAAGCATCACTGGCACAGAGGCTAAGTTGCTGTGTACTGTTGTGAAACTCCCAAGTTTGATGTCAGAACTAATGTGTTGTGTTACCAAAATTCCTCTGGCTTCTGACTGACTCCCATCTCCTCTGCAGATAATATCAGAAGATATCAGTGAGCTGCAGAAAAACCAAACAACAACCATGGCAAAGATTGCACAGTACAAAAGGAAACTGATGGCCCTTTCTCACAGAACATTACAGGTAACAAAGATAGGCTAAGTAATTCCTTTGACACACATTCCAGTGCTAGAAGCAAACAGAGGGGCAGGAGCAGCTGTGCCATTGTGTTGAAAATGAAATTCTGAATGCAGCTGAATAGTGTTGATTTAAGGCCCAGACAGGGAAAGCTTCAGGTGTGCAGGACTTGGGAACCTTCTCTCTCTCTCTGTCTCAGGCAGAAGCCACAGGACTGCCCTGAGCTCTCAGCAGTAGACTAAACAACAGAACACATCTGATGAGAGAGGTGCTGGAGGAAGGGCAAAAAGACATGTGGGTGGACTGGTGGGGAAAGAGATGTCAAGTGTTCTCTAATGAACCTCAAAGGCTTCTCTTGCAGGTGTTGATAAAGCAGGAGATCCAAAGGAAAAGTGGTTACGCCATTCAGGCAGACGAAGAGCAGCTTCGTGTCCAGCTGGATACAATCCAGTGTGAGCTTAATGCACCTACACAGTTCAAGGTGAGTAAAGAGCACTTGTCCAAGAGCTCTGTGGTTTCCACACAAAATAAATGTCAGTTCTCCAAACCATGGATGTATATTTTTGGGGGAAAGCTTTCAGCAGACCAGCAGTGTTATGAGGTTGCAGCATGATGTTCTTGGCTGTGTGACCAGTAGGTAGTTAAGTAGTTCTGAATTCTTGGAGGAGCTGTTGGGGTTGTTTGCTCCCTGCATGTCTTCCAGAATGGAACGAGCGGCAGTGCTTCCTGCCCTGGTGCCCTGAGGAATGGCACATGCTGGAGCTGTGCCAGGTGTAAGTGAGCTGTGTTTGATTTCAGCCTGTTGCTCTTCGCAGGGCAGACTGAACGAGCTCATGTCCCAGATCAGGATGCAGAACCACTTCGGGGCAGTGCGGGCTGAGGAACGTTACTACATGGACGCAGATCTCCTGCGGGAAATCAAGCAGGTAAGTGTTACAGGGTGGAATCCTGGGGTCCTCTTTGAACTTGATACACACTGGCTGTACCCAGAATGCCATGTTCTTGGAGGTGTTTGATGAGGAAGTCCTTTGTGTTGTTCTCAGCACCAGTGCATCACGGTGTTGTACAGAATCACGCTGGAGTGAGGCTGTGAGTGCAGAAAATGCGCTGTTATTCCTTCTTCCAAGGAAACTACGCCAAGCTTTTCACTGTGCCAAGGCTACTAGCCATGACATATCTCAGAAATAAAGTCCATAAAGTTGAATTATGCTCACACTGGTTTCTAAACTGTCTGCAGCATCTGAAGCAGCAGCAGGAAGGGCTGAGTCACCTCATCAGCATCATCAAGGACGACCTGGAGGACATCAAGCTAATAGAACACGGGCTGAACGAGAGCATTCCCATCAGAGCAGGAGTCTTCAGCTGACTGCTGGCTGCTCTGGGCTCACACAGAACGTGTTAGTTGAGTTCCTGGCTCACCTTCCAAGGCTAAAACTGTTGAGGTAAAATAAAATTCATATCCTATAGGAGCAATGGTATTTGGCTGTTACCTTTAGAATTAGCAAAGCCTCTTCTAAGCTATTAAAACTGACCTTTGGAAGGTTTCTATTTTATAAAGCTGTATACGCTTTACCAAAAGAAGCAAAACTGAATCTGTTCAGATACCATTTTACTACGAAATATATGTACTATTGTACATTTTTCCTTTTTTTCTCTCCTTTTTTTACAACAGCATTGTCCTAGAAGTGCAGTGCTGAGGGGATTGTTTCACTTGTGACTCGGTTTGTGGAAAGCTTAGCCTGCATCCATGTTTCTGTCAAAGCAGTCAAGTACCATCATTGTGTAAGCAGTTAATTTAAATCACTTGTTGCTGTAACTGTGTTGGTCTCTGCAATACCAGTAGTTTACTGGGGCAACCCACAGGAAGGTGGTGTTTCCAATTTGTTCTTCCTTCAGACTGCAAGGATGTGAAGGTTATGTTTCTATCACCTTAAGTATGTGAACTAGACAAAGCTTTGCTGGCCCTTAAATAACAGAATATCTGGACATTGTCTTCTGCCTTTTTTTTAATTGCCCAAGAGTAATAAATTCAGTCTGACTTTGTAATAACTGGTGCATGGTCTTGGCTCTCAGTTACCTCACCAAAGCAGTGAGCTCACAGCTCCAGGTAAATGCAGTGCACTCTGCTCCAGGCACGGCAGGGAACTGGTTGTCAAACTGACACCACAGAGCTGCTTGGCAGCCTCAGTCCCCAAACCAGAACACAAGTGTGTGTCCGTTAGCTCCTGCCTGGGGGCAAGAGCTGCAGAGCAGGTGCCTTCTCCATGTAGTGCTGAGAGAGCTGCTTTCTCCCCCCCCATTTAAAACTCACTGAAAGTAACTGAAACAATGCAGTGATCTCTGCAGTAGGAGTTTGTACAGCAGAAACAGCCTCAGCGTGCTGGAGCCTGTGCATTTGAGAGTGTTCACGGAAGCCTATGTAGAACTCATTGAGGGGGAGAAGGTTAGTTTCTCTCTGGAGACATGGTTCCAATTAATATCCCCTCTGTTCAATACAGCTCCAACATGGGCTCTAAAGAAATTCCATAAGCTTAGACCTCCCTTTCTCAGGAGACAGGGTAGCAGCCTAAGCCAAGCCTTCTGCCTGCCATGGTGCCCCAACAGGGCCCTACGTTATCTCCTTTCACTGGTCTTGGGAAAAGAAATCATCTTGGATTTCTTAAACCAGTCCCTGCTAGAGACAGTGTTGCACTTTGGAGGTGGGTTTTTCTCAGTGTTGCTCCACTGTACATATTGAGTAGCTTCAAACTGGCAGAACAAGCTTACACAGCAAAGGAACAGCAGAGGGGAAGAAGGTATCATCACCAGAAGAGCACTGCTGCTCAGAGGTGACAAGCTAGAGAAGACATTACCAGCCAACAAACAGCAATCTAGAAAAAACTGTTTATTAAAAGGAAACCTGTGATCAAACAGCTGCTGCCTCGTTAAAGCCCTGCCTACAAGTAATGCCTTTACTTCCATTTTACCGCACCTGAACAGACCTGTAACATTTCATCACAGGCATTGACAAGAGAAATTGTTTCACCTTCTCTTCAAGCAGGAGGTTCTACTTAAAACACAGCTGCTTTAAAAAATGGTCAGGACTGAAGGGCAGCTCATCGATGTTACCTGTTCCCTTCTCCAGCTGCATCACAGCTGTTGGCCACAGCTGTGTGGGTACCTGCCTTCCCTTTCCCTGTTGGCATGTGCAGGCACACTCTGCAGCCAGGCAGGAGCAGCCCTGGCTTGGCAGACATCAAGGCATGGGACATGGCAACCCTCTCCAGGTGCTCAGGACTGGCACTGTTTGACAAGGCGAAAAGCTTCCAGAAACTCATTGAAGTCGATGTTTCCATCCTTGTTGAAGTCAATGCTGCGAACCAAGTCGTTGATGCCATCATCCGTGACCTCAATGTTCATGTGGGAGCTGAACAGCTTCCAGGTCTGCTGGAATTCCTCAAATGAGATGAGGCCTGTGCAAAAGAGAAGGCACAGCCACCTCAGTGCCAGGTTACCACAGGCTCTGTTGCCTCAGCATGCAAGGAAGGTCCTGCTCAGGTTTGCTCCCTCCCACCCCTGCTGCCTGCCTGTGCACCCTACAGGAAGAAATAAACCACTCAACCTACATTTCACAGGCTGCAACTACCTCTCCTAGCATGGAGAACACTCTAAGGTACAAATGAAAGCAGTCAAGAGGCATAATACAAACCATGAGAACAAAAGAAGGCAAAGACTGTGTATTTTCTCTTTCCCAAAGTAATTTGGTGGGGATTACTGCTTGAAAGCAGCTAACACACAAAATCCTGACTACACTGCATCACTGTCACTGCTCTCATCACACTTCTTCTTGTGCTGAACTCCTCCAGAAAAAAAGAATTACTAATTCTCTGCCTGGGTTGCACACACTTCAAGGTGCATCCTGTCTGTGGAAACATGCAAGGACATTCTGGGAGGGAGCAGAGAGCCAAGCCTTGAACAGCTAAATTAAAGTGCCTTTGTACCTACTGAAGGGAGCCCCAGAGTAGAGAGGGAATACCAGGCAATGACCTGCTTACCTGAATGGTCTTTGTCTATGATCCTGAATATGGTCTCCAAGTTGGATTTGTTTCGATAAATGACTTCCAGCAAGCTCGACTGGATGTGCTGAAAGACAACATGGTCACACTCCTTCTCCCCTTCTGACAGCTCTCTGCTCTCGGTGGTTACTGCAGACCTCCCCATAAATAGACACTTACTGCTCTCAAGAATGTGCCAGCAGTACCTTATCAAACAGGTGTGTGATGACTGGACCCTCTGTGCCACTGCTGTGCCTGTCCTTTCCAAACAGCAGTTTTCCAGGCTCAGTGACCTGGGCCACATTTTATAACCACTGCGGAGTTGGGTTTGCCAGGTGGAATTAAACTGCAACTTGTCCTACTCAACATCCTGCATCCAAAACGTCCTCTAGGTTTTGACCTCGCATCCACCAGGCGTTTTTAAAGTGGCCTCAATGCCTCTGGATATTTGAAGTCAAGCAAGATTTTCTGTCAACTTTAGTGTGAGTATACAGGAACCATCCACTCTCCTTTCATACCATACATGATCCCATGTGCTGGAGACCTGGTGAGCTGCTTTGCATCGTGCTTTGATGGAAGGGGCTGAGTTCTTACCTCTTGGCTCCGCTGCTCCATGGCCAGGTCATCCAGCCAGGATTTGTATTCCAGCATTCCATCCTCCGTGCTCCGCACCAGCTGTGGCCTCAGCATTCTCCAGGGCAGCCCCAGGCGCAGCACTGACTCCACTGCCATCGCCCAGTTGCTCAGTGTGATCCTTCCTATAGGGAAAAGAGACATGGAGACCTCTGGGACATAAGCAGCTGGAAGCACATGACAAGAAAAAGCCTAGAGCAGTACATGTACCCAGCCTAGGTGCTGCTGCCAGCAGTGTTACTTCTCACTGCAGGCACAAGCACTTTCCCCCAGCCTCAACAAGCTGTTCATCACTGCAACAAATCAGGGCCATGAGGCTGCAAACATCAGAACAAAGGCAAGGCACTGACTTGGGGTATTTCATTATAAATCTGGAGCCTGCTTGCCCACTTCAGCAGCTGCTCTAACAGGCCAGCTGGTCTTCAGCAAACAATTTTGGTGCCATTGATGCTCCTGTTGCAGAGCTCTCCTGGTAGCAAGCCTCAATTGCTGCACACTAGGCAAATTAACAGGGAATTAACCCATGTGTCCCTTGCTCAGATGTACCTGTGTTGTCCTTGTCATAGGCCTTGAATGCACTGATGAGGGCTGAGGTGTGAGCAAAGAGCTTTTCCCGCAGGGCTCGAAAGGCTGACTCCTCCACTCTGCTGATTCTGGAGGGTGCAGGACAGAGAGAAGCACATTCAGGACTTGCTGTGAACTGCAAGAGAAGCTGCACCTTCCCAGTCCTCTGGCTTGTCTGTGGATTGCCCAGACCCTCACACAACTGCTCTACACAGCTACATCTCAGTGCTCATGACAAGGCACTGCATAGCTGGGCCACAGTTACCTGCAGCTGCATCAGTTTGTGAAGTAATAAAGCACAAGAGTACCTCAACAAGGGTTCAAAGTTAAAACCTGATATTAAAAAGAGAAGCTGAAAAATCATGTGTATAAAAAAATCCCCTTTGGATCTTGTAACACTCCCTCCTCAAGCCTTGAGCCTTTGTCAGCAACTTCTGCACAAAGCTTGAAACCTCTAGCACTGTGATTTATAAAATCAAACTGTGAAAGTTCAGCTCAAAAGCTCCCAAAGCTTTCCTTGTGAGAATTTTGGCTTGGTGAATACAGAGCAACCAGAACTCCTTGCCTTTGGGTCATGGTGAGCGTATGGGCTGTCTTGTTGGCTTGGTACTGGACAAAGTGGGGGATGAGGTCTGGTCCCAGCTTCACATAGGCTCCTCTGTTGCTGCCAATCTCATAGTAGTTTGAGGCTGAAAATATGGTCAGCACCTAATTCCCCCGAAAGAGAGGCATTTAAGGTCAATACATAAATCCTGTGGTAACTGTGTATGTGTAAATAACACACCTGGTCCCATCTGGACTCCACACCAGATGTCCCCAACAGAGCAGCTTGTTCCAGACAACCCTAAGGCCTCAGCTGGAAACACCATTGGGTACCTCCCAGTAAGGCTGTTCAATGACTTTGTATGTGTTTAAAGCCCCACTAGGAGAAATGCAGAGCTGAGAGAAGCCACAGAAATCCCACCCTGGCAGGATGGAAACCCAAGATTCCTTCACGTCATCCCCTCACCGACCTTCCGGTTGTGGCAGAACTCGTAGCCCTCCTGCTTGCACTCGTGGGAGCGGATGAGGAACTGCAAGTTGTACTTCTCAAGGATCTTCTCTGTCACATCGGGCCCAAAGTAGCAGCCACCCCCTCGCACTGTGTTTGCACTGCAGCCCTCCTGAGGCACAGGGTCACTCCAGAGAATGTCTAAAATCTGAAAGGAGTAGACAAGTTCCCCGAATAAAGCGTTCCCAGCAGGTACTACCTGTCAAAGTTCACTAAGCAAATACAGCTCAACCTCTGAATCCCTCCCTGGACTGTTGCTGTTACCATAGTGCAGGGAAACTAACATTTTCTGCATCCCAGCTCCACCACAATACTGCTCTGCAGGACTGTCACAGACCTGGGCCACCTCAGAGGTGACAGCATTTTTGGCCTGGAGCTACAGGCATACCCAAAGTGCCTGGAAAAGCTTGTATCAGGCCTGAGACAAGCTTTGCCACTGCTGCTTCCAAGAATTCCAAGAGCTTGGCTGTCCTACTCCATCTCAAAACACAAGTCGTGGGGCGAGAGCTCCCAGCAGGTCCTGAGGCCATGAGCAGGCTTTGCTCTCTAGCCAGAACATTCTGCAGCCTCTAGAAATGCAAGTGCTGACTCAGTAACCACTGTTTGGATTAAAAGCTTAATCTCTTTAACCCTGACCTCAATATATAGCTTTATGCTGATAAGGTGTGCAACGCTGGAAGGTCATATGTAATGTGAAGTAACTAACTATAGTTTCAGGGTGGGCAGAAGAGATTTACAGACAGGCTGGTGTAACACAAACAGGAAACCAAGTCCCCAGGCTCTGCCCTGCCCAGCAATCTACTCACAGTGCAGCCCAGTTACAGCCACAGACTCGCTCTGCTTGGAGCACCCAAGATCAGGACTCACTTGTCAGCAAACGACCTGCAGAGCTGACTTCAGATCCCCCATGTGCACTGTAGGCAATAGAACCACGGGGCTCTACAAGTCAGTCTTGGCTGTTATTTCTCTCCCCTGCAGTGAATCAAGAAAAGCTGTTGCCTCACTCTCTGCCTGAGCAGCAGCTCTGTTTATACAACAGATGAGCGCTGTGCTGGGAGCAAACGCTGGGACAGAGCCTTCAGCACAGGAAGCCAAAAGCCTGGGCAAGAGGCTGACTCAAGGGCAAGGGGAAGGCACCAGAATGGCAGCTAGTGTCAGTCCTGCACACAGCCTACATTCTCCTAGGTGACTCCTCACAGCTCCTCAGTTGCCAGGGAGCCATGCCTCAGGATGGGCTGGATGAAGCACAGGTACCTAACAAAACATCCCCAAGCAGCAGAGAGCAGTACATCCCTTCCTGGCCACTGACCACTGAAGCACCAACTGCTGCAGGAGGCACCAAGCTCAGGGCCTTGCTTAGGCTACCCACCTGCTTCCACTCCTCCTGGTGGGTCCAGCCCAGCTCATCCACGTCCTTCAAGGAGGCCATGCTGGAACAGGTAGATGACTCCGACTCGCTGATGTCCACCAGCCGGCGGCACGTATCGATCTGCTCCTGCGCCGTCTGCCGGACCCACCTGGAGAACTCCGTCCTGTTGGCTGTGCTGGGAGCCTGGGCTGCCTGGGGCTGCAGGGATGTCCTGGGAGCTGCCTTGGTCCCTGCTGCATCAGCCTCTGCTCTGCTCTCCCCGTTCATGTCCTGTGTTTCTGCTCTTCTGTTCGGCTCCATTCCTTTCTTCATTCTTAATACAGAAATATACTGAAAGAGATGCGAGAAATGGAGCTGAGCACACTGCTTGGAGACTCACACCTCCAGCTCTGACATCTCCCATTGGCAGGCTGTCAAGTGACCCAAGCCCCAGTTCCCTTCACTGCCATCAGCTATGGGACATCACTAGTGCCATCCTCTCAGATGTGCCATTCTGGGTTTACCACTGGGCCCCACATCCACCAGATCTCTCTTTCCCCTTTGGCTTTCTGCTGCTCAGACATTTCACAGAAGGTAGAGCACATGGATTTAATCTGCAGTGGGAACTGTGCAGCAGAATGAATAATTAAGGACTAATGCAAGTGCTTTGGAGAAGACAAATTGTATCTCACAACTACAGAGTGAGGCAGGGACAAGTTAAGTGACTTATCAAAATCCTTCTGGAACTCTAGGGGGGAAAAACAAGCTAAAGAACTGTGGGAAAATGTCTCATTATCACTGTGTTTTTACTGTCAGCACATGTTCCAGAAGCCAACAATACTTCATCCCTCCACACCTCCTGCACACACATTATTAAACCAAAGTGATCCACTCCAAGCCTGTATCTAAACAGAGTGTCCAGGAAGACCATCCCTTAGATTTGTCTCATCAACAGCCAAGTTGCCATGTAGCAATGAGCTCCTCACCACAAATCAGCAACACTGTTGTTTCTTGCAATAGCTAGGAAATAAAACCTACTTTGTCCCTTTGAATCTTCTCCAGCATGTCCAGGTCAGTGGTGTCAGAAATGCCCCCGTGTATAACAAGGACTTTCTGATCAATCAGGGTGGCCAGGGGCAACCAGCAGAAGACATTCTGAAACATCCTCAAGATTTTCTTCCCATGCACCTAGGAGAACAGGTCAGGAAGGAGAAGATGAAGCACCAAGCCTTCAAAGTCCACATCTCATGTGTAAAAGGGACTCAAACGTATGCCTACCTTGTATTTCTGCGTTACTTCCTTGGTGAAACCATAGCTAAGGGAACAGGAGAGAGGAAGGTCAGTTGGATGTCAAACAACACCCTTGACATGGTGCTCAACCCCACACAGAACCCATACCGTAAGTTGACCACGTGGTCCTCGTGGTTCCCACGGTTGAGATGCACCTCCTTGGGATAGATCAAGAGGAAGGCAAAGAGGATGATAAGGATCTCAAGGGACTGCTTGCCTCTGTCCACAAAGTCCCCGTTGAACACGTAGGACTTGGAAGGGGAAGGAAGGCCATTCTGTAAAAGCAAGGAACAGGCAGGTGTTACAAGAGAGGCCTCCCCATCTCCATACACCTCACCCTGCAGCTGCACAGTCACTCCTGTCCCAGCTTACATTATACAACAGATCCTGCCTCTTATCCTTTAGGTTCCAGTGGCAAAAGCAGTGAAAGCTGGTGGTCAGGAAGGGTTGCCATTGGTATCAGCACTTGAAAAATGCCCAAAATACACTTCCAAAATGTACATGGTTTTCATAGTCAGCATGGGAATAAGCTGCTGCTTTGTGAAGCTATTTGAAACCAAATTGACCTAGAGAATTGCAGGTGAAAGGTCCAAATTTGCAAACACTTCTCAAATTTGCAGACACTTCCCAGCATGGCCCATGCCTCCCTCTCCAAACTCAGTGCCTACCTTATAAAATATGAGGAACAGGTCATCCAGCTGGCCATGCAAGTCTCCTGACAGCACAAAGAGACAAGGCACAGTGTGTTTCATTTCAAAAGACACCAATCAATAGCTTCCTATGAACTATCTCCTTTATATACTAATGATCACTGAAATATTTCAGCCAGGTTAAAGTTTCATTACACTAAGGCAATGGACATGATGTAAAGGCTTGAGCTGAAGCCTATGAGAGGACAGCAGAAAATCTGCACCAACTGCTGAGAAGTGATTTACACATCGTATAACATGGTCAAAGTGACACAACATTGTATAAAACTGTTTGACTTTGATCGTTACACGGGAGGAAGCTTTGCATACAAAAAAATAATCAAACTCTCATTTAACATGGTTCGGGGGGGGGGTATTTTCCAGGAGCTGACTGCATGCAGAAGTCTGTGCTAAGCACATGTTTTTCAGAAGTATATCAAAGCTTTAACATCAGACTAGGAAAATAGTGGTGAAAAGCTTTGTCACTTTGAAATGTACTTGGTAGGGTGTAAAGATGCATTAGTGTTCTGGATCTGCATGTTTGTGCTGCTGCTAATGAAGGCTCATCCAAACCAGCTCCAGGACTTTGGAGTTAACCCCAGGCCACGGAACAGGTCAGAAAAAGTCTGAGTTTTGAAGCCAGTCCTCAACTGGGAGCAGCTTCCATGGTTTAGTAAAACCACCCTAAGTTTGGGGTGACAGAACGAAGACAACCAGGATACTTCAGACCTCTCCATGCATCACATGCTTTTCTTACAGGCTGCATTTGTGTTCCATGTTGAGTAGATGAGAGCATCATGCTCTTAGTACCATTTTCCCCCTTTCCCACCGCTCCCACGCGAGCATCCTGCCCCAGTGACCTACCACACACAGTGACCTCCTCGCTGTAGCAGGTGGAGACGTGACTGATGTTTGGCAACTGCTTGAGATGCTTCCTGGTCTCGTGCAGAAGGTGTAAGACATAGCGAGCGTGGAGCTGCTACTAGGAGAAAGCCAAGGGTTTAAAGCAGGAAATCAGTGGCCTCTGTCTGCAAAGGCCCCACCAGCAGAGCCTGGATGGCAGAACCTCTCGCTGGGATGACACTGTGCTGACCTACAGGCTAACAAACAAGACAAGGCAACTACTGGGAAACAGCAGGATGGAAGACTGACCCAAAGCAGCTCAGCCTCAGCACTGCCAGGGCTGGCAAGAGACCCCAGAAGCTCCAGCACCCCATGGACAAGGCTATATTCACTGAGCAGCAAAATCCCAGCCCAGTATCACAGGTAAGAAGCTGCTCCTCTAGATCTTCCTTAAACCAGGCCATGAGCTTCCATGTGTCCTGCAGAAATATATCTGCTCAAAGCCAGGTGTGGGCAAGTAACGTAGTCAGGACTTGAGAGACCTTTGGTTTAGAAGTCATTTTGTTTGGAGAAGGGATGTTTGAGCCTGTTTTGCAGTTCAGCACCTTGGCTGAGGGAGGGCAGCAGAACACTGCGGTTGTGCGAGGGCTTGGCTTGTTAGTTCTGCTCGAGTGCTACTTGACTTCCTCAGCAAAACCCTCACACCTTACGTTTTAAACGTGAGTCAGAGTTGCCTGGCACAAAGCATCATTTTAATTAGCTGTTTCCTTAGGAGCCATCCTATACTTTTTTTACAAACTGATTAATTTGAACAACAGAATGTTTCAACTTGAGCTGTTGTGGATTTTTTTGCTTAAAAGATGAAATTCGGGTCAATATTGTCATACCCCTATGCAAAGTTTGCAGTTTGGTCAGAAATGCATTTTGACAAAGAAAAACACTCCTGTGGCAGGGGGAAATACCCATGTCTTTGTGTAACAGCCTGACTCAGCTTGTTGCTCTCCTATCAGCTTTGCTTGCTCAGAAGGCTAAACCCAAATTACGTCTCCTATAACCCTGTGCAGGGAAGGGGAAAGGTGGTTCCTTCTGGGATCCTTACTTGTTTCTGTTTGAAAGCTTCCAGCAAGGCAGTGGCATGGTCAGGAAGGAGTGGGAAAGTGAGACGGGGTCCAGTGTAGGAGTCTGGCACTGATATGGATTCATAGTCACAGTACTTTTCCAGCTCTGCCTCTTTGTAGCTTTCACCACTTATGAACATGCGACTGATGAAATCCCCTGGATAGCAAATCCATCAGTTTCATTGGTTTTTTTTCCAAGAGAGAAACAGACAAGAAAAAGTTAATTGGCTCAAGGTACCATTGCAGTAACTTGCTAAAGAGAAGCTGCTTGCTCAGGCTAGAGCTCTGGATCAATGGCAGCCATGGAGCCTAGGTCCTAGTTCAGCAGCACTACAGATTTGCAATGGGGGAAAGGCTGCAGGAACAAATTTCCGTGGGTTATGTGTCAGGCAAGATGTATTCTTGCTTCAGGAATGGCCTCTGCAAAGCCCTGGTCACCAGGGGTTGTGAGACCCCACCTAGAGCGCTGCATCCAGCTCTGGGGTCCCCAGCACAGGAAGGACATGGAGCTGTTGGAATGAGCCCAGAGGAGGCACCAAGGTGATTAGAGGGATGGAGCAGCTCTGCTGGGAGGAAAGGCTGAGAGAATTGGGATTGCTCAGCCTGGAGAAGAGAAGCTTTGGGGTGACCTAGTTGTGGCCTTCCAGTACCTGAAGTAGCCTACAAGGAAGATGGGGACAGACTATTTCCAAGGACCTGGAGTGACAGGACAAGGAGGAATGGCTTCACACTGACAGAGAGAAGGTTTAGATGGGATATTAGGGAGAAATTCTTCCCTGTGAGGGTGGGGAAGCACGGGCACAGGTTGCCCAGAGAAGTTGTGGCTGCTCCATCCCTGGAAGTGTTCCAGATCAGGTTGGATGGGACTTGGAGCAACCTGAGCTAGTAAAAGGTGTTCCTGCCCATGGTAAGAGGATGAAACTGGATCATCTTTGAGGTCCCTCCAACCCAAACCAGTCTGGTTTTATCCCCCCTTCCAGCTCCTAAGGAGCAGGAGTGGCCCCACATCCCTTGCACAGCTCTGACAGTCTCCTGACAATTCACTCCCTATCCACACTCCTGATGCCATCACTCTTTAGACTTGGCTGCATTTGCCATCCTGAAGGGCCAACATTGGGCAATGAACAATACAGGGTGAAGCCTTCAGAGCTGCTGGTGCCACATCCGCAATCAGCACACGGAAACTTACTCTCTTTGCTGCTGCTTGGCGTGAACTGGTCCATGAGGTAACTGAAGAAGTTGTGAAGCTGCAAGAAGAGAGAGCCCATCACTGACCCCTGTTGTGTTCAGAACCAACTTCCTCTGTGTTTTCCCACATACTCCTTCCCTTGGGGCCATACCTTGATCTGATCCTGCTCACAAGAGTACTCAATGGACTGGAAGATCCTCCAGGTGCAACGCCGGCGCATCTCCAGCCGCGCGACATAGCGCCGGTACCACTGCTGGATCAGGACCGCTGCCTTGAACGCTGGGGCACAAAAACAGGGCCAGGCTGCTGAGCTGCACTGCCTGCAGCTCAGGTACCCTGCTACTGCTCCTCTCCCAGCCCTGAAAATTCAAGAGGAACCTTTCTTTTCCAGAAGGAACTGTATTCTGATGCCTAAATACTAAGGGTAATGAATCACCCGCTCCTTTTCACCCTTTTGCAAGAGGCTGACCTGACCCTGCCTGACCAGAGACCTCTGAAACACCTTTAACCACTGCTGCCAGGTCCTCAGCACTGGGACTAACAACAGCTTATTGGGGCCTAAAGATCCAAACACATTCTTCCGTATTAATAGGCAATCTACCTTGGTCACTTTCATGTCCATCTTAGTCTAGGTGCTGGGACTTCAGCAAACCAGAAACCTGACTTAGGCCACACAGAGTTGAGGGAAGACAAGACACTGAGTCCCCTTCCAGAGCCTTAAAAATATAGGGTTTTTCTACTCCTCTTTATGCCAAATAAATTCCTTGGCTTTTGCAGTACTGGGGAGACTTCAGAATGAATCCGTTTTAGCATTACCTTACAATAAAATAAAACAAAAATTCACACCCACAGTGAAAAGAGGGAGAGCAAGTGGAGAGTGTCAGGGGAAAAAGCTTTATTAAAAGGAAGGAAATGCCCCATCCCTGCCCCAAAGGCTGCTATGAGCTGCCAAGACAGATCATATTAACTCAATTACCTTGTATTAATTACATAACAAACCTCCCTCCATGTACTTCAGCAGTAAATGGTGACCTTTCCTTAAAGAAGATATCCTGATGGCTTAGGTATTGAAAATAGTAATCCCTCTAAATTATGGTTCTGTTTCAGCACTGGGAACTGCAGAGCACAAAAAGGAAAGAGCACGAAAAGGCTGCTGTGCTGTGTGGAACTGAGTCATGGGGAAGCTCAGGACAAGAAGGTAAGACTTGGTGAACCTTACTTCAGGAATAACTCCTGTATTCTCTGCCTGAGCCTCCTCTTGTTGAGCAAATGCTTACTGATCTGTTGGGCTTTGGGGAAATTCCTAGTGATGACTCCACATATACCAGGTCCTTTGTGTGAAGGACACATTGTCAAGTACACCATGAACCTATGTACCACCATGCACAGCATTTGAACTCCAGATGGGCAAGGCACTGGGTTTGACTCTGCTTTTACAGAGACCAATCGTGCAGCTGGAAAAGGCAGGTATTCTAATTTACCAGCTTACCTGAGAGAGTTTTACCTGGCAGTGCTTGTGCCAGTTTAGAAAAAAAAAAAACAATCCAAAAGGAAGAGATTTACCCACACTGTACGAGAATCCAAGCCATGCATCATCATACAAGCTGCTGAAAGCATGCCGGGGTGGCAGCACTCAGACCAAAGGATGCCTGTTTGGGCTAGCGGTGCCCTCAGCTCACAGGAAGGATACCCCAACCCCTTCCTCGCTCAAGGGCTGGGCCAGTTTATCAGCTCTGCTGGCTACACTTTCCATCGGGAACAGCCCCGGACCTGCTACAGGCGGGACAGGATGACACCTGGCATGTTGCAGTTGGGTGGGAAGCTCTAAGCAGTTCCCCCTCTGCAGACTACCAGATCAGGAGGATTTTGAGAACCAGATGCAAGAAATTCAGAGAGGTTTTACTGCAGTGGGAAACAGTTGCTGAGGGATCCGATGTAATGCAGAGTTTCAAATAAGTAACTAGTTTTATGTTACACTTCATCATCTTAAAGTAACCCTGAGCTTGTCTGGAAAGTCTCTGGCTCTCTGGTGCTCTGGGCAATAGATGAGTCTCACTTAAACAAAAGGTGGAGGTTTAAACAGACAATTACAAACAGAAGAGTCACAGCCACATCCCCACTTTCTCCATTCCTAAACACAGTCCTTATTTTGCTTTTCAAAGCACTTGCCAAGAGTTTGCCCCACCCTGCTGTTCTGCCAATGGCTGTGATTCAAGCAAAGAAATCGATCCCTTTACTTCTTACCACTTCCTTCTGGGTAAAGTCTCCCTCAAACTCCCTTTGTTCCACAGCAGGCCGAAGCACACACCCACAAAACTGATACCCCATAGAGGATTTCATAAAAACCAATCCTCAGAGCCACAAACGAGTGCAGGTTCTTAGCAGAGATGCAGAGCATTTGTGCTGATGTAATTAGAAGAAACCACACTTCCTTCTTTTCAGCTTTTCTTAGCTGCACCATCTCACCTTCTTTAGAACCAGATCTATTTTGGCTTTGCAAATGCTGCTGCTTTACCAGTGCTGCACCACTAAGAGCCCTTGAAAACAGTTCAGGAGGAGCAGCAGGGGGACACTGCCTCACTGTCAGCAGGTGACAACACATCAGCCAGCGAGTGTTTGTTCTAACTGCTGCTTCACTCCTGGTCAGGTTTGGGTTGGGTTTAAGCTAATCCTGGCCTAAATAGATGCTATTTTCTCAAACTGCTGGTCTGCTGAGAATCCTTGTCACAGGGCACTGAGAGACAGAACCTCCCCTCAATGCTGTGGAGAAAACCAGGTAACCCACAACAGCAACACATCCACTGCAACCTCCCAACAGCACATGCAGGAACAAGCAGGAACAGATTACTTGTCAAGGAAACACTCACCTTTCTCAGACTTCTGCAGGGAATACTTGTAGTTGACACTGATAGAACTACCAGATCCCATGTTCTCCAAGCAGTGCTCCTAGAACGTTGCAGACAGGCCCAGTGTCACCAAAGCCACCAGAGATGCAGGAAAGACCATTCGGTCAGAATGAAACCAGCTGCAACATGTCCCACTGTGTGCTGAGAATCTACAATCCAACACAGTAACACTTCAGATCAGAGATCACATGGCCTCTTGTGCACAACTACATCTTCCCATACCAGGTTTTTCCAGCTACTTTGTCATCTTCCAGACAATCAGAGATTAGGACTTCTGTCTCGCTGATAGGAACCAGTTCAGCACCTTGCCTGCTTGCATAGAAACAGCAGAGATGCACATCTAGGTACTCTGATTGTGTAGCAGATGTATGAAATATTTCTCAGTACTGATCAGGAGCTATAAGTCATTAAGCTGATTCATTAATAAGTACATGCAGACAGTTATTCATGCATGTAGTTATCTGTGAAGCAGAACTGTCATTATGAGGGATGAACACACAGATGGTATTTAATCTATCTACAGTGCCACAGCTAGAGGGAAGATAAGTCTAAAATAACAATTAGCTACCATAAGAAAATAATCAGCTTTGTTAAACACTGCTTTCCTTCACCTCCTGGGTCTGCTAGAGTGTGGCCGCATATGATACCAGCAATACAAAGGGACAGGACAGCCAGACTGGTCACCTCACTGCTGAGGGAAGCTCTGGTCAGAGCAAACAGATCCTATTTCAAGATTAGGTCAAATTCTGAAACCTTTCACTCTGAGGACAACCAGAACATCATTCACAGTCAGACAGGTTTCCTCTGGGAAAAAAACCACCAGTCATGTACTGCTGCCACAGCAGCCCCAGGCTGTATCCCTAAGAATCATACAGACTTTTAGCCGAACCCAGAACTCAGGGAAGGAAAGGCTGACAAAGGAAGGAAATCAACACCTGTAAAAGCATTAAGCCTAGTGCTTGCAGGAGATCACAGCTCAAAGGATTTTGAAGGGTCAGGATGGAGTGACTACAGCCCCAGCAGGGGAAAAGTCCTCCTTTCCTCCCTTCCTGCAATCCTTTTGCCTCCTGCGATCTCTTTGCACCTAACCCATGTCTTCCCTCTCGCAATAGCTCAGATCCGCACAAACGCTAATTGCAGGAGCATGCCCGGTGTTCTGTGAGTGTGTGCTGTGCTTCCCCGGGAAGGTGAGCCCTGCTCAGCCACACTGCAGCAGGGGAACATTCCAAGGCAAGGGAGGTGCTGGAATTCTCTCCCTTGCCCAGGATGCCCAGCTGTACAATTCCATCCTCACACTAACTGGGTAACACAACAGTGGGATATGTAGCAATGCTCAACAAAATACCAACACTGTTTTGTTCTCACAGCATCGTTTCATATCAATGCCAAAACCAGCCTGAAGTCATTGCTGAATTATACCCAGTGTTATCTGGTGCTTTCCAGCCTTTGTGCCTCAGTAATGCAGGTGCTCTGACAACTTGTCACATTATCAACTGCTCCAATTGCACACAAAAATCCATAGCACTTAAGGCTCTTCTTTGGACCTTCCTATACCAAGCAAGACTCAGTTCAGGAAAAACACAGTTTCAGGCTCAGAGTTTTTGGTCTTAGACTTGTAATTTCCATCTGACTATCCAAACAAAAACATCTTTTCAAAGAGAGAGGTGTGAGGATTTGAGCAAGTTTTAGCTATCCAGAGAAGCACCAATATGAATGATTCACTCTGTTGGGTGCTTGCTTAAGGAAACCTCATCCCCAAGCACCTCCACTTACTCCATCCTGGTATAACCTGCAGGGCACTCTGAAACAGACTGATACAATGACACCAAAACCCAGGCTCCAGCTAGAAATGGGAGTTCAGTCCACAGGACCAGATTCAGGAGAAAAAGGACTGAAACATGGTTAGGGTAGACAATTGTTCCTCTGCACTGGAGGTCATCACAGCCTGGGGGCCTGGATGTATCTTCAGCACTGCTGAGGAACCCCACAGTACCAGCTCCAAGGGAAGACAGAAGCTTCAGCTTTTGGAAGAGGCAAGTGCCTTTGAAGATAGGCTTAAAAACACAAACATGAGGAAAAAGAAAATCCTCTCTCAGGAGGTAGAGCACCTCCAGATGACTTTTGAAAAGTGGAGAACACATTTGAAGCAAACACTTAAGTACAGGGTTTGGTTCTTTGCTTGCTAAGGATGCGTTCAGGATGAGGATGCCTATTTATCATATCATGAATGGACTTATCAACAGGTCTCTCCCAAGCAGTTCCTGGAGCTGCAAAGTTTTTCACTTGGTTGTCCTCAGATTTGAGGGTCACAGCCTGAGCAAAGGAGTCACAGCAGCAAACCAGACTCCAAGGGAATCAATCCTATTCCAAGGGTGTGAGGAGCAAGGAAGAGATGGAGCCAGTCCAACTGCTCAGCTCCTCTGATCCTTCCTCATCCACCAACAGTGACATGCATCCTTCCCTTCCTAAATTCCTGTGTCTTGACACAGAAGAGGAACAGAGGCCCATAAAGATAGAGGATGGAATTCTTGATGAAGCTGAACAGTATCACCTCAAACACAGGCTGTACTGAACAACCCAGTGAGACAACAGGATGCATATAGCTGGTTACCAACTGCTCCTTCCTCTTCTTGCTCTTGGCCACCACTCCCCTCCTGCAGAGATGTTTACCTTCTCTCTGGTGCAGCTAGAAGCCTCCAAAACAGGCTTTCCTCATGCCTCATTCCCATGAGGTTCCGGGCCTCAGCAGAAGGCCACAGATGTGCAGAGGAGATGCATGCTCACTGGTCACCCCAGGCAGGGGAAACACCTAACAGCCAGACCCCACAGAGCCATTGACAACACAACTCTTGCAACTCTTCAAACACAAATTGCTGCCTTGTTTAATAAAACTATCTAACACCATTAAAAAATCAGGAAAGGGAAACATATACAAATCCATTTGGGTCAACCATCCCAAAACAGGAACAACAGCCAAGTTAAATTTCCTAGCTTAGCCTAAACATTAACTCCCTCAAAAGCAGAACAAGCGACAGAATTTTGACCTGAATCCTACACACTCTGAGCCTGTGCATACTGCAGATCTGGGCAGAATTTGGGGCTTGACCCACAAGAACGGAAGTCTTCCCACAAGGAGCACCACAGCCAACACAAAGCCTACTCCAAAACTACAGGGCTCCTAGGAAAGATGACACTCTTCATGGAACATGCACAGCCTAACCATTCCACAGACATTCCAGCAGCTGAGGGAACAGATGAGCAGAACAGGGAAGGCAAGGAGAGGATACAACAAACTGACTGAAAGCTTACTAGGAAAAGACCTGACAGATGTTGGAGGGAAACAGATTTTAAGCTCTGCTCAAAGGAAAACAGCAACAGTTTAAGAGCTACATTTCAATAAAGAAAATAACTAAATGCTGCTCCCAAGAATAAAAAGGGTAGCTAGCACTACCTCACTCCCCAAGAGTAAATACCTATGCATGGCCCACATGTGCCTCAGACTCAGCACATTTCATAGCTGCAAATAAGATGGTGAAGCTTGTTTTATGTTAGACACACACCAGCAGTTACCACAGTGCCAAAAAGGACAATTCCAGAAAAAAAACAACCTCCCACCTGCAGCTTTTTTACAGCTTGGCATATAAAAATGCTATTTCCCCTCCAACTGTGGGTGCTGAGCAGCCACCTCTGAGCACAAAACCCTGTTATAAAGACATAAAAATGCAACCTACCTTGCTGCCAATTCCTAACTTGGGGATTTGGTGAGAGAAACACAACGGCAGCTCTCCACTTGGTAAAATTCTGTTCTTTTCAGTCCCCAAGTGACCAATGATCTCTGAAGTGATTATCTTGAGCACAGATGCAGAAACTCCTCCTCAAAGGCCAAATAATCAAGTCAGGTGTTGCCTGGGGCCCCCAGCAGGACATGCCATGTCTCTGAGCACATGCAGCCCAAAGCAGCTGTGCAGACCCTTTGGTTTATTTACTGCCCAGTTTTGAGCAGCCTTAAAAATCCTTTGCCATGTGATGCTTAAGAAAGGCTACAGATCTGCACTGGATTAGGATTACTGAAGGGATTATGAATGAGAAGTACAGCATGTTGGCCTCTCTCATCTTAACAGGCAGCTCTTGCACACTTTCCAGTCGCCTTTTGCTAGCTGCAAACCTTTAGAGCAAAAAGAGCTGAAGGCTGAAAATATCTGGGGGGGTTTGCAGAAAGAAAAGGAGGTGAAAAGGCAAAGAGAATCTATTCATTTTAGTTCTGTTTCATGACATAATCATGCGAGGGCTTGATAAAACAGAAAACTGTTTTACTTTCCAGTCTCTAAAAAGCAGATGAATTCTCAAACAGAAATATGAGCAAACCACTCAAATAACTACAAATTATCCTCCTCCTTAAAAGAAAAACAGGAGGATAAAATCATAGATTGGTCATCGAGTGGTAACTTAAGGATCTCCTGGTACAGCCTGTCTGGGCAAAAACCTGCCAAAAAGCTAAATAGGCACTACATTTTAATGCTTCCAGCATTGATAAGGTGGTTTTATTTAAAGAATAACCATCCCATCCCTGCACTTCTATCAAATTTCAGTTCTTATCCAAAGTAGCTCGTAGGTTAAATCACCTAGTTTGTAAGATGTGTCATTTACTACCTCCTGAGTTTAATGGCAAGCTAAAACTATAAGCACTAAGACCAGAAAGTTATGTATCCTTTTGGTTAGCAAGAAAACCATTCAGGGTGACTTTACTTTGGTGACAGGCAGGATGCTGGAGCATTTATAATTCCACAAAGAGCAAGATCTCCAAGAAAATCCTTTACGATAAAAAAAAAACCAAACTAAAAGACTTGGTGAAATCTACATTCCTTGCTCTTTTCAATCTCAACCCCCCCAAACAGCTGCCAAGGCACAAACACAGCAGCAAATTGGTTCCTGAATATTCATGGATTAAATATTTATACAGTCCAGTCCTGTAGACATTAAACCACATATGACCAGTTAAATGTCTATGCCAGGAAGGCTCTG